AGAACAATGAAACACAGTTTGGCATCTTTCTGTAAATCTACACAATAACACAGGCATTTACATTTACACAAGAAAGATATGCGCACATATGGCTAAATCCATCCATCCATACAGATACATACATATATGTATACACACACACACACACACACACACACACACACACACGCTTACATATATATACATACACAAAAATGAGGAGCAGGTGCATTGTGAGGTGCAGTGTGATCAGTGATATTGCACATTGTGTGTGTGTGTGTGGGGGGGGGATGCTGTCGCTACTATAATAAATACTGTTTAAAGAGGTAATGTCCATGAGTGTTGGCAGTGCAGTTATCCTCCAATCAGGGCGGAGGTAGGGCATGTTTGACAGCCTGTGGGTTGAGTCTGTTTGTCTTTGACCTGATGGACCTGGGGGGGGAAAGTGAGTGTTGAGGGTGCGAGGGGTCTTTGATGATGATAATGGCTTTCAAAAAGTCTGCGCCGCGCAAATATATCTAACGTCCACTTTTCCACCTATCAGGTGGGATTAAAATGTTCTGACAGCAGATTTGTGGAAACTAAGAGCATTACCTGATCAAAATTTGGCCAATCTCACATTTAAGGAATATTAAATCTTTACTGTCTCATCTGAAATGTTGTCCTTGCTCTACAGAAGTTTTACTGAATCTGTTATTTCTTTCTGTATCGCTGCTTGGTTTGGTAACGTGACTCTGAAGAACAAGAATCAGTTGGGACTTTTGGTAAAAACTGCCAGCAAAATCTCAGGGCATTGGCAAGACAGACTTTTGGCCATTTATAACAAGCATGTGCTGAGGAAGGCTCATTCTATTGTTAATTGTTTTAACCATTCACTTCACACTGAGTTTAACCTGTTGCCCTCTGGCTGTTTAGAGTACCTGTGAGGAAGACCAAAAAACTTGAGGTTTCTTTTATCCTTACTGAACCCGTCTCCTTAATGGCAAATAACTGTCTTGTGGCTTTTTGTTATTGTTTTGTTTATTCTTATTGTTGCCCTTGGTGCTATACTAATTTTGTGTTGTGGGACAATAAAATATTGAATTGAATTAAGGTCTTCTTATTGTACACCTCTGGCTGCTATTTTTAGATCACACATTATGCTCCCTTGCACTTGTGTATGTGCAGATCTTGGTTTTTAATTTCAGTAAGTGCATTGAACTTTGCATTGACAGTCTCACTCTGTGGAACAATGATGATAGCACCTCACGTAACGCATTGCCTTCAGGTTTGGAGAATGGTATCTGCAACTGCAAAATGCTGTATGTTTGGTTACAGAACCATGCAAAATGTAAAATTACATTCACTTTTTTAGATTGGATATTTTACTTTTGAGTGTCTAGGGTGCCAACCTCTGCCACACCTCGAGATGCTGACAAAGGATACATTATACATAGAACAGCGGTTACCAAATTTCAAACTGCATTTACGTCTCATTGTCTGAGCTAATGTTCATGTTTGACCAGCTTTGGAAGCTGAGGCAAACCATTAGTGAGAGTGACTGTCCTGGGAATCACTAGCTCTTTCTGGATGTTGCTTTGCTAAGACTATACTTTCAGGGATCCTTTCTATAGTTTTGACTTGAGAAATGTGTTTCTAGTGTGTATGGTCTCGCTAACCACGATGATGAGTTGTGATATTCCCTTTGGAGCATGAAAGTGACAGGCAACTGTGACTTTGTCATGTGTTTTCTGTTCTTGATGACCGTTCATTGCTTATTTTTGGAGCTCTGACAAAGGGAATATGATCTGAGTGGTTCTAAGAAATGCTGGTGTCATAGCACTAAAAGCACAGGTACAATTTCTTTCTTTATGTGTAAGTAAAAGTCAGTGGTTGTATTAACTAAAAAACAAACAAATGGTTATTTTAGGGACTTTACACACATTTACTTTTTTTAGTGAGTGACAGAGACGAGTCTGTTGAAGAAGAATTTCTTAAACTTGGACTAAATGTTGTCAGTCTACCAGCTCTTCCAGCAAACTTTTTTTGAGAATGCAATTTATTAAAAACAAGGCTTAAACAGAAACAGGCTGTTTACAGCTGATCAAGAGTTTAGGACCACAACTCCAAAAAAACAAACAACCTGTAACCCCATTGTCTCTCTAAACTAGCAGAATTCAAATAAACCTTGACTTCAGGTGCATAATTCTTGTTTTTTATCTTTTTTTTTTGTTGGATGTGTTTTCTGTCATTGATGAATGTTCATTACTTCTTTTCAGAGCTTTGACAAAGGGAATATGATCTGAGTGGTTATAGGAAATGCTTTAAATATGTTTCACCAAGCTGAGGTTATAGTACTAAAAACACAGGTACAATCATCCCATGCAAGGTAGTTCATATGGAAATGGAATTCAGTAGTCACCATCACAGTCACCACTTGTATCGCATGCAAAATGTGGACTCTGTCAACAGAGCCAGATAGAAACCTACAGATGTTTGTTGGTTTGGTGCTTAACTTTAATCACTAAAACAAAGCACATTTTAAAAGCAGGTTCGGGGGCTCTTCTGTTATCATTAATCCACACCTTATTCACAGCAATGACTTTGTCACTCATGGTTCAGAAGTAAAGGCTATAATTACGTATTATGTATTATTGCTTGGCATAATAAAGAAGTTAAAAATAATAATAAAGACTTATTGAACCAAATTAGATTTTCTTTACTAGTTTTTTCAGGAAGTCTTTTTCAACATTCTTCCTTTCCAATATATATTTCCATGAATTGGTTTTCAAAGGACTTCACAATTAACGATGACTCTTACCACAACAATATATTAACATCACTCTTGCCATACACAGTTTTTTTTTTTTTTTGCTTTTTTTCCTCAAAAGTAAGTAAGTCTCAAAAGTTCTCTAGTAACATGTTTACCATAGCAACAGCTCTTCTTGTGATGCACGCTCAATCATCCAGGTAAGTAAATTCCAAAGGTTGATTCTGCTCACATCCATACAAATTCTGCCATTTATCTGGACCCAGGTCACCTCAAGCTTGGTCTCAGTTAATAGTTTATTAGATAATTTCTGCTTGGCACTGACCTTTATTTAACCATTTAAAACTAGAAATCACTAGGAGGAAAAAAACCCAAAACAACAAACAAGCCTTTTAATTTTATACAGGACTTCCCCTCTTTTCAAATTCACATCTTCAGTGAGCTACAGGGAAGCACTGATCAGTAATCAACTACCAAGAACACATTTAGCAAATCATTATTCCCTGTGTTTTACACACTCAGAAAAGAACCACAACTCATCATTGCGGATTGCAAAACCATACAATTTTAAACCACAAATCTCAAATGAAAAATTATTTCCATGAAGTAGAGCTGTACAAGAAAACTGGGGATGGACAGACCAGGTCATTAGGAAGACACATATTCTCACATAGGGTTGTGAGGGCAATTTAAACCATGTGTCTATGATGAATGAGCATAATAGTAACTTATTTACATTAATCCAATTTAAAAACACTGTAAAGTAAAAAAAAAATAAGTTCACTTCTGTCACTTATTGTTCCTTCCCATTCCATGCAAGGCAACCTGGGTTGGCTGGAAGACTGTTTACTTAGCCTGGCAGGGCGAAGGACACTGTCTCAGCTGAACTATGGACACGCACACACATACATA